CTCTCTCTCCTCTCTCTCTCTCTCTCTCTCTCTGTACCCACTCACCAATGGTCTTCTCATATGAGCTGAGCACGGTGGCTAGCTGAGACTTGGGTATGGGGGACACCTGTACCTCGTCCACACTACAGAACATCTATCTCTCTCTCTCCTCTCTCTCTCTCTCTCTCTCTCTGTACCCACTCACCAATGGTCTTCTCATAAGAGCTGAGCACGGTGGCTAGCTGAGACTTGGGTATGGGGGACATCTGTACCTCGTCCACACTACAGAACATCTCTCTCTCTTCTCTCTCTCTCTCTCTGTTTCTCTCCCTCTCTCTCTGTTTCTCTCCCTCTCTCTCTCTCTCTCTGTTTCTCTCCCTCTCTCTCTCTCTCTCTCTGTACCCACTCACCAATAGTCTTCTCATAAGAGCTGAGCACGGTGGCTAGCTGAGACTTGGGTATGGGGGACACCTGTACCTCGTCCACACTACAGAACATCTATCTCTCTCTCTCCTCTCTCTCTCTCTCTCTCTCTCTGTACCCACTCACCAATGGTCTTCTCATAAGAGCTGAGCACGGTGGCTAGCTGAGACTTGGGTATGGGGGACACCTGTACCTCGTCCACACTACAGAACTCGCTGCTCATCTTGTTGGGGGGCATGGTGGGCTGTGGCTGACTGGTGGACTCCTGGAAGTCTACGTGGGTCATCTCACGCATACCCATGCTCTCAGACACTGCCAGAAATATATGTATATTTATATTTTTATATATATATGTCTATATGATATGTCTCTATAATAAGGAAGAGTGAGGGAAGAAGGGGTGAAGCTGGGGCAGGCTGGTGAACTCCTGGAAGTCTATGTGGGTTATACGGGCAGCCCACTACGGACGGGATCGGCCGATCGAGGCGATCGCTCGACTTGATCGCCTCAAAAACAAACATGTTTGTTTTCAGTTTCAGGCGATCGAGTTGGGCGATCGGCCCGATCCAGCTGTAGTGGGCACCCCATATTATCTCTCGCATACCCATACCCTCAGACACTGGGTACAAAAGACAGATACAATGTATATATATTTATATATATATACACATGTAATATAGACAGGGTGTGGAGTATGGGGGGAAAGGGTGAGGTGGAGTGGAGGTTGGGGGAGAGGTGGGGTAGATGTGGATTAGGTGGGGGGGGGGCACAAAGAATAATCATACAGAAAATCAGCTCACCACTATGGTGTTGGTAGTTTGTATACATTCACATTTGGAGTGAAATAGAAATCTAAATACCCACACAAACGTAAACAGAACCCCCTTCATTCCCCCTACACACAAACAGACAGACAGACAGACAGACAGACACATAGACAGACAGACAAACACACAGACAGACAGACAGACAGACAGACAGACAGACAGACAGACAGATAAACACATAGACAGACAGACAGACAGACAGATAGACAGACAGACAAGCAAACACACACACACACACACACACACACACACACACTGACCATTCTGCTGACCAGCCAGATACAGACACAACAGTTTGCGGCTGTGGTGCAGGGCCCTGGCTGTGTACTGGGACTGGTCCAGAGTCTCCCTCAAGGCCTTCAGACTCTCAAACACGTCCAGTGGCACGGCAGACAGACGGAATGCGTCTTCCTCTGGAAGGATAAGATCAGACAACGTATGCAATATGATAGAAGAAAATATCAGTTTTAGGAAGAGTTTTACGGCACTTGCAACATAATAAGGTCATATAAGTGACGAAAGTTAGGGGTGTTACCAGAGAGTAACAAACACAAAAAAGAAGGAGAGGAGATACAGATGATAGATTTTTTATAGGAAAAAAGGAGCAAACCACAGCAGAGCACTACCTGCCAACCCTCCACAGAAAATATTAAGGCAAAAAAATAATAAGTTCAGATATAAGGTGAGGTAAGACAAGATAAAGTCAAAAAAAGAAAAAGATCAGATCAGACAGGAATACAATATAACAACAGACAAGATTAGGGTAAGAAAAGATAAGTTTAAATATAAGGTGAGGTATGATAAGATAAATTAAAAGAAAGATAAGACAAGGTATGCAATTTAAGATAAGATGAAGGTAAGAAAAGAAAAAAATATTGAATATAAGTATGTGTTTTACGCCCCCATTGAAACAATTTAGTTTGTGTATGTGTGTGTGTAAGTGTGTGTGTGTGTGT